AGAAAGACAAGTAAACAAGCTTTAAGATGATACCAATAACTCTACATGCCCAAAAATTGATGAGAGCCTGATTCCACCACGAGGCCTCACATTTTATTTTATAAATTGCAATTTCTCTATCAGGTTGTGATGCTTCAATTTGGTTAAGAAATATTTTATGGAAATTTGCGATCTAAATGTTGAGATAGGCACAACCGCCAATCCCACCCAGTTCCCCTCTCTCTCCCCTCCCAAAAAAACAGCAACCAAACCCCCTCCCCCCCCAAAAAAAAACAAAAAAAAAAAACAACAACAACAACAACAACAAACAACAATAAACAAACATAAAACACATTATCTAGAAACGATTGTTTAAAAAAAGGAAACAGTTTTTTTCTCCTCCCCAACCCCCCCCCCCCTCCCCCAAGTTCTCTTCCCCTCAGTAACATTTTATTTTGTGGACCGACGATTTTATATATTTTACACTACTCGATATCCATCTAACATTGACACAGTGCTAGCATCTTTATAATCATCGTACAAATCTCTGGCTCATACACAAACTTGTTCAGAATCCTCCTAACTTCCAGGCTAAAGAACCGACTTACTTCCAGGATTGCAGCAATAAAACTTGTATCGCCTGTCTTCATAGTGGTTGTCATGGTAACTGGACAGGCCGCTGATGATTTTGTCACCGGGACATTGGAACTCCAGGATCCCATCCATGTCGTTGGCATAGGCTGAGGAACAGACGATAATATTATCTCAGTGATTATTTTAATTTTAAATAATATTCAGTTCTAAGGTTGTTCCCGCATCCGATCCCGACATTTAGGATTGCTTTGTTAGTGAAACAACTTCCTGGGCCTTCGGCATATTGCGGTAGGGTGGCCAGTTCCTTCCTTCGCCGCCTTTACTTCTCCTACTCAAAGTCAGGTACCCATTACTGCTGGGTGGGCAGGCTCGAACCCGGACTTTCCACTTCGGAAACGAGCGCCCTGACCGCTCCACCACCACACCCTCAGTTATAGTTGACGCATATGTACATTTGGTCGGTAGACCAAAGCTTCATGTTGCATGGCTGAACTAGTTTTGGACAAAAAAAAGCACTTTGCATTTGTCAAAGAAAACTGGGTTTTTTTCTTTCTTAAGGACTTTAATATCCCACTTGATAGTCGGAGTCAATCCCAAAGCGGTGACTTGTCCCAGTAGAAAGGAAAAAAAAAAATAAACGAAGGAAGGCCCGGCTGTTGTGATACACCTATGTAAACACAGCGTAAATATATTATTATTAGTGTCAGATTCATGTTTATTAGCTCCCCC